ATGCGCAAAGAGTAACCATGCATGTTGAAGCAATAACGTAAACAGGGGCCCAAAAACAGAAAACAACACAGACACAAATTTTCTTTGCTCTGTAGCATGCTCTTCAGTCTCTATGTACAACGAAAATGAAAGGTTGCGAACTGCACTGTACAAGGCATCGTGCTCGAACTGAATTTACCACTATATAGCGGTTACGGCATGGCGCTCTCAGAACGAACGAAAGCTTGGAAAAAGAATTGGAAAAAGCTCGCGTCGCCTTTATCGGGCATCACGAGGATCATCCCTGCGGACCCAGCGGGTTCCATGTTGGGATCTTCCGCGCTCCGATCTGGATCTCTTGCACACTTGCCTGGCTGGTAGGTCGGCCTCTCGAGGTATATCTGACCGATACCGATTGGCACGCCGCTGGACACCAGCCTTTGATCGCGTCCTGGCATTACGATCGGTGTAATTTCGTGCCGTGCATGCTAGCGGCTCGTGCCAGTCCTTATCTTATCGGAGTCAGACAGTAGGAGATCAGCGTTGATGCAAACTTGAATCTCTCTGTCTGCTTCAAGTTGGGAGAGTATACTTCTCTAAACTTGGCCTGGCCTTCCTCTGGCTCTTGGTATGCAAGCGATGCTTATTATGCGGATACCTAAACATGTAGAGGATGAGACAATCACCATCGTGAGCTGGATCGCCGTTAGCCGAAGGCATCCACTCTTCTGCCCGTATGTTGGAGACGATGTTCTAGGTGATGCGGAGCTCTCGCGCTGTCCTGTGAAGTTGCGCTGTGCTGCAAGGTTGCCATCTCCTGCAAGAACATCGACTTCGGCCGTTAGAGCGGCATACACCAGTGAGGTGAAATCAGCGCGGACCAAATCACATCCACCATGGTCCTGGTATTTTTGCAGCATCTTGCTGTTTACATGGAAGTTGCAAATGATGATTTCGTTGCTGTCCAATCGCGTTTGATCGCTCCTGGACGCGCTGTTTTCAATCATCGACTCATCGAGTTCAATGATCGGGTCGTCAGCAGGATCCCAGTTTGGATCAGTGTGATGGGAGTGCAGGGCCGTTGATCAGAGAGGCAGCTCTGATGGAATGAAACCCTTACGGAGTTGTCGTCCAAGTTGATATCGGCGTCTATCGCCGACTCAATGGTTGCGTCCACACCTCATCTGTGGTCATCCGCTGGCCCGTCACAAAGCTGCTGTCGGCTACCGCTTGTGGATCAAGATTTCCGAAGAAAATACGAACAACAACGGCATTAGGTTTTCTTAAATACATTTTCTGCTGCCTCCTGCAGGATCATAACATGGCATGGATTTGCCTGGGAATACCGATAGATCGGTTGATTCCTGGCAGTTCTTTGGCAACTTGTACCTGCCCATGCCGCCTGATCGGCCCAGGTCACCGAAATTGAAAACACCTATGTTTAGACCTGGTGTGATCGCATGTTCAAAGATGCAGTAGGGGCATCCTGCCATGTCTTCTTGGCTCTGTATGAATTTGCATTCATCAGATTCTTGCTCATAATTTCACATTTTGACTTCCACAAACCTGGCTCTGACCTGGAGTTCAGGTTGAAGAGTCCTGTTGGCCGATAGATTGGCAAATGGACAGGGCCAACTTCAGGAGATTGCTGTGAGTACATCTCCTCCATAGTTGGGCAGGCGTTCACGCCATCACGAATCACGAGGCCGGAACGTAGTGTCCTGGGCCTTGATTCTGTCCAGAACTCTCGAGATGAGAGTTGGTACAAAACAGTGTTGCCTGACGAGATGCCGTTCTGGACATTGCTCACCATTTCGGACATTGTCCTCTTGCGGATTTCCGCAGCTTCCTCCATAGAGGAACTCGCGTTTGAAAACTGCTTCTTGAGCATCGGCCTCGTCCATCTCAATGCGCAACAGCGTCGAAATCTTCAGGTCAGGATCCATTGCAAAAACCGAAGGCCACGTACTACCGTACAGCCGTTAGTTCGGCCTGTCTCCCTACCAGATGGCCCGCCTCGCGTCCGCCACTCCGCCTCCCGCCGCCGCCCACTCATCTTACACCACTCATCTCACACAACTCATCTTACACCGCTCATCTCACACTGCTCATCACATCCACTCATCTCACACAACTCATCACAACAACTCATCTCACACAACTCATCACATCCCACTCATCTCACAGCTCATCACAACAACTCATCTCACACAACTCGTGACAACAACTCATCTCACGCAACTCATCACACACAATTCATCACAACAACTCATCTCACACGACTCATCACTTTCCACTCATCTTACGTGCAGATTTCGTGGCAGGCGCAGTGCTTAAGTGCAGATTTCGTGGCAGGCGCAGCACTTGGTGAACCTGGAGTGCAGATTTCGTGGCAGGCGCAGTACACAGAGCCTTGAGGAGGACCGGGTGGACGCGTGGTCGCCGCTGGCCCGCGGCTGCCTGTTGTGCAGATTTCGTTTCAGGCACAGCGCTTGGTGAACCTGGAGTGTAGGTTTTGTGGCAGGCGCAGTGCGCAGAGCCTTCAGGAGGACCGGGTGGACGCGTCGTCGCCGCTGGCCCGCGGCTGCCTGTCGCGCAGATTTCGTGGCAGGCACAGCACTTGGTGAACCTCGAGCGCCGATTTTGTGGCAGGCGCAGTACTTCGTGGCATCGTGAACCTCGAAGTGCAGATTTCGTTGCAGGCACAGCACTTGGTGAACCTGGAGTGCAGATTTCGTAGCAGGCGCAGTGCGCAGCGTCTTGAGGAGGACCGGGTGGAAGCGTGGTCGCCGCTGGCCCGCGGCTGCCTGTCGTGCAGATTTCGTGGCAGGCACACAGCACTTCCCTGAGTCTGCTGCTGTACTAAATTTTAATTTTTGGATGGATTCAGTCTAATTGGTAGGTTTACGTTGATTTTCATGTAAAATATTAACTAAACTATATTTTGAGAAAACAATAAACTACATGTACTTTTGTAACAAAAAACATGTAGTTTTGCATGATCTTCTGCTACGCAATCTCACCTGCATTTCGTGCCCTCGACGCGCACGATCTCCGCAGAGGGTTACGTTTCGTGGTTCCGGCGGCACCGCCCCCGGCCTTAAGAGAGAAAGTAAAGAAGAGCGAGAGGTGAAGATGTGAGATGTAGATGTGAGAATGTAGATGTGCAGAGGTGCAGATATGAAGATGTAGATGAGACGTAGTTCTGCAGATGTTTTTTACGAAGAACCCTTCACAGACGCTCTCGGGAAAAAGGTTAGTGACATGAAACGACATGAACCTTGCAACAGAACAAAGCAAAAAAATAGACCAGAGCAGAGCAGAGCAGAACAGGCAGGGCAGAAAAGACATAACAGAACAAAACAGAACAGAGCAGACCAGAGCAAACAGAGCATAACAGAAAACACAAAACAGAAAAAGCAAAGCAGAGCAGAACAGAGCAGTGCAGAAAAGACAGAACAGAACAGAACAGAGCAGAACAGAAAAGGGCAGAGCAGAACAGAGCAGAGCACAGCAGAACTGAACAAAGACCGAAAAGAACGGAACAGAGCAGAACAGAGCAGAACAGAACAGAGCAGACCAGAACGGAGCAGAGCAGAACTGAGCAAAGTAGAGCAGAACAGAGCAAATCAGAACAGAGCAAAACAGAATAGACCAAAACAACGCAAACAGAACGGAGGAGAGCAGAACAAAGGAGAGCAGAACAGAACAGAGCAGAACATAACAGAGCAGAACAGATCAGAAAAGAACAGAGCAGAACAGAACTGAAGAGGGCAGAGCAGAGCAGAACACAGCAGAACAGAGCAGAGCAGAACAATGCCCAACC